CCAACTAACTATATAAAAGTAACTTCACACTTTTTATATCGTAACGATCTACCCACGCAATTCACCGTCCTTGATAAATTTGCATATCGAAACATGACGATATAAAAAGTTTGTTCTGTAGTCAACCCCAACTAACTATATAAAAGTAACTTCACACTTTTTATATCGTAACGATCTACCCACGCAATTCACCGTCCTTGATAAATTTGCATATCGAAACATGACGATATAAAAAGTTTGTTCTGTAGTCAACCCCAACTAACTATATAAAAGTAACTTCACACTTTTTATATCGTAACGATCTACCCACGCAATTCACCGTCCTTGATAAATTTGCATATCGAAACATGACGATATAAAAAGTTTGTTCTGTAGTCAACCCCAACTAACTATATAAAAGTAACTTCACACTTTTTATATCGTAACGATCTACCCACGCAATTCACCGTCCTTGATAAATTTGCATATCGAAACATGACGATATAAAAAGTTTGTTCTGTAGTCAACCCCAACTAACTATATAAAAGTAACTTCACACTTTTTATATCGTAACGATCTACCCACGCAATTCACCGTCCTTGATAAATTTGCATATCGAAACATGACGATATAAAAAGTTTGTTCTGTAGTCAACCCCAACTAACTATATAAAAGTAACTTCACACTTTTTATATCGTAACGATCTACCCACGCAATTCACCGTCCTTGATAAATTTGCATATCGAAACATGACAATAAGGGTAAGCTAGAATAACCGTATAGTTAACCTCCACTGCGCATTAATAATGAATGTTTATGAGTGCAATGGTAAAAATATCTCAGTCACGGTACATGTAGAATGTTCGAAAAAATCCAATAAAATAACCTCCCAAAAATGTTTTAATTTATTTTATACATAGAGTAATGGCGTTCATTTAACTTTACAGCATCGTAAAGGCCAATTTACACCACACAACTTCTGCCTAAAACTGTTGCAACCTGCTTACAACTTGAGTTGTACTGCGTAACTCAAGCACACAACTCACCTACGACAACGTAGACGAGTTTTTCTGTCCTTACACGAAGTACTCACAAGATTTATGGTGGTCACGCCAATATTGATACACTGCAAAAAACACCTAGCCTGTAACAATGTTGATGAAAACAAGCCTGAACAATATTTTAATGGACCGGTCATAAAGTATTTACTATGGGGTGTGGAGGATATTTATGGGGGGTACGAAAAAAACCCAGAACCTCTGAGGAGGGTACGAAAAAAACAACAGAACTTCTAGGGGTACCAAAATCTTAGTACTATAGGTAGGAATAAAATTACATTTTATAATTATTGTTGAATATTGAATGTATTTGTGCCCAGATTTAAGTTTGGAAAGAATTGTTTTACTATAATTATTATTTCAACACAAAGTATATATGTTTCAGTCTGACTCAATGTCAGATGATAAGTAGGATTCAGTATCCGTGGAACTTTTGGAGTACAAATCTGATACATCTGAATTGTCAATGACAATGCTAGCAAGCTCACACCATTAGAACCTGTTAATGATT